CCCTGTCTTTCTCTCCCTTCCTATCAGTCTATCTGCCTATCTATCTTTCTGTCTATCAATCTGTTTGTCTACCTGTCTGCCTATCTTTCCATCTTTTAATCGATCTCTGTGCTTTTCCTCTGCCACTCCCGCACCCCCCCCTCTCTCTTCTCTCTCTTCTCTTCTCTCTCTCTTCTTTCTGTGTGTATCTGTATATCCTTCCATCTTTACCTATATTTGCCTCCCTCGTTCTCCCCCTCCCCTTGCTATTCCCGTTCCCGTTTCCCCTCCCTCCCTCCCATCTGCCCTCCCTCCCTCCCCTTTGCCCTTCCTCCCTCCCTCCTTCCCTTCCTTTCCCTCTGCCCAGAACCCTCTGCCCTCCCTCCCTCCCTCCTTCCTTCCTTTCCTCCCCCCCTCTGCCCTCCCTCCCTCCCCTCCCTCCTTCCTTCCTTTCCCTCTGCCCAGTACCCTCTGCCCTCCCCCTCCCTCCTTCCCTTCCTTTCCCTCTGCCCAGTACCCTCTGCCCTCCCTCCCTCCCTCCCTCCTTCCCTTCCTTTCCCTCTGCCTAGTACCCTCTGCCCTCCCTCCCCTCCCCCGTTCTGTACGCCACTGATTCTGTAAAGCAATACCTCGGCTTTTTTGTGTTGTAATGTAACCCCACTACTGTAAGTTTATGTGATCTTTCTCTTTGCCTCGGCCATTTGCTTGACGTCTTTTTGCTCCCTGAAAATGACTATGCAGACTTAACATGGATATGCATACGTACATGATTTTGTGCATACATGTGTAGACTTATACATATGTATGTATATGCATACAGACATACATGTATAGGCCTACATATATAGATATACATTAATACGTTCATGCATGTACGTATATTCTTATGAATATATATATATATATATATATATATATTATATATATATATATATATATATATATATATATACATATATATACACACTTTTTATTGATAATGCTGTCGTTATTATTGTAGTTATTATTGTTATTCCTATTGTTATTATTGTTGCTAGTATTATTGTTGTTAGTATTGTTATTCTTATTACAAGGTTTTTCGATAGTTATTTTAATTTTATTATGTTATTACTGATATTCTTTAGATTCATATATATTTCCTATATCTGTTATTCAAATGGTTTGAAGAAATCTGATTGCTTGTTTGAGAAGCCACAGACTTTAAGCGGATTTTATCATTATTTATTGCTACTAAAAATTTCTAATGAAATATGAACATAAAAATTGCGCGCGCGCGCGCGCGCGCGTGTGTGTGTGTGTGTGTGTGTGTGTGTGTGTGTGTGTGTGTGTGTGTGTGTGTGTGTGTGTGTGTGTGTGTGCGTGTGCGTGTATGTGTGTGTGTGTGTGTGTGTGTGTGTGTGTGTGCTTGCGTGTGCGTGGAAGCGTGTGTGTGTGTGTGTGTGTGTGTGTGTGTGTGTGTGTGTGTGTGTGTGTGTGTGTGTGTATGTATGTGCTTGCGTGTGCGTGGAAGCGCATGTGTGTGTGTGTGTGTGTGTGTGTGTGTGTGTGTTTTGTAGAAGAGTAAGTTTTTAAAACTCGGCTTGATAAATGTTTTTCTTTCCGGTCATTAATTGCCGGTAAATAAAGCATGGTAAATATACATGAACATACGTTGCTTACGCCGGTGAATGGCGAGTTCCGGGCTTGAATTCGTGGCATGTGATGTGATGTGATTTTTTTTTTTTTTTTTTTTATCTCACCTACTCTTTCTTCTTCTTCTTTTATTATTATTATTACCATTACTTTTATTATAGGTTTTGTTATTATTATTGTCATTATTGTTATTACTATTATTATTTATTATCATTATTGTTATTACTATTATTATTTATTATCATTATTGTCATTATTATTATTATTATATTATATTTTATTATCATTATTATTGTTAGTGTTGTATTACTTTTATTATAATTATTATTATAATATTGTTATCATTGTTGTAATTATAATTATAGTAATGATAATAATAATGATAACGATAACAGTAATGATGATGATAATGAGAATAAGGATAACGATGATAGTCCTTATTATCATCATCCTCGTTACTACTACTATTTTTATTATTGTTAGTGATTCACACCCTAGCAACAGCATTTGTTTGTTTGTCTCTTGTTTACTTAAGCCACAGGATAAGAATCGCGTTCTTTGACTTTTTTGTTTGTTTGTGCGTGTGTTGGTTCATCTTACTTGTTTATTTATTCATCTAATATTCTTATGGAGTAGAGAGAAGGTTGTTGTAGTTTAGGGTCGACGACGAATGGGATTAAAAGGAGGCGAAAAAGAGGGGATTAGGAGGAGGAGGGGAAGAAGGAGACGAGAAGGAGGGGAGTAGATGGAGGAGGAGAAGGAGAAGACGAGAAAGGGGAGTAGAAGGAGACAAGAAAGAGGGGGAATAAAAGGAAGAAAGAAGAAGGAGACGAGAAGGAGGGGAGTAGATGGAGGAGGAGAAGGAGAAGACGAGAAAGAGGGGAGTAGAAGAAGACTAGAAAGAGGGGGAATAAAAGGGGGAAAGAAGAAGGAGACGAGGAAGAGGAAAAGAAGAAGGAAGACGAGAAAGTGTGGATTCGGAGGAGGAAAAGAAGAAGGCGAAAAACAAAAGGAATAAAACGGACAAACACCTTCATACTCTTATGGGAACGGACGCACGTTATCGCTGAGACACCGGACACGACTTCCGGACGGGGCACAGACAGACAAACAAAGAACCAAACAAACAGACAAATAAACAAACGGAGATTTGAGAGAGAGAGAGAGAGAGAGAGAGAGAGAGATGAAAGAAGAGAAGGGGGGAGGAGAGAGAGAGAGAGACAGAAGAGAGGGGGAGAGAAGAGAGAGAAGAGAAGGGGGAGGAGAGAGAGAGAGAGAGAAAGAAAAGAGAAGGGAGGGGGAGGGGGAGGGGGACCATGAAACCGAGTGACGCCTTGTCTCTTCGTATTTATTTTGTATTTTTGCATCTCTGATCTAATTACGTATCAATACCTTGATCATCATATCTGCTTGCAACCGGTTTGCAACGCAGCGAGGAGGAGAAGATGACGAAAAAGAAGAAGAAGAAGAAGAAGGAAAAGGAGAAATGAATGAATAAAGGAGAAGTAGAACTAAATGGGGAAATGGAGGTGGGGTTGGGGTCTAAATGGAAGAGAAGAGGGAGAAGGTAATGGAAGGGAGATAAAAAGAGAGGGAGGGAAAGGAGAGAGGAAGAGAAGAGAGGGAGGGAAGAGAAAGAGGATGATGTGGTAGAAGACTGAAGGGAACAGGAGGGAGCATGTGAATGGAGGGGATGGAGAGGGAGAGCAAGAGAGTGAGGCGTATAATAAGGAGGGAGGAACTAGTAGAAAACTGGAGGGAAGAGAGAGGAGCAGACAGAAGGAAGGGGAGGGATAGAGGGAGAAAGATAGGGGATGGAAGGCAAGAGGATAGAAGGGAGGGAAGGAGTGTTCAAGGATGATATGGAAGAGGGAAAGGGGGTTGGAAGATGGGGAGGAAGGAAGAAACAGTAGATGTAAAGGAAAGGGAAATATCGTTCGAAAAGCGAGGCGGGACGGAAATAGGACCAAGAGAAAGGAAAGAAGAGAGAGCGAGTACAAATGAATTATATATATTTTTAAACACTGACGAAAAAGGAGAGGAAGGACTCGGGGTAGATAAGGGTAGATAAGGATAGCTGAAGCTAATACCGTCGAGGGTTATTTTTAGGCTTCTTAAATTACTTTTCCCGTAATTTCTTCGCTTACAAAAGAGAGAGAGAGAGAGAGAGAAGAGAGAGAGAGAGAGAGAGAGAGAGAGAGAAGAGAGAGAGAGAGAGAAGAGAGAGAGAGAGAGAGAGAGGGGGGCGTGCGTGTGTGTAGGTAGGTAGGTAGGTAGGTAGGTAGAGAGATAGATAGAATATGTATATTTAAGTAGATATATAAACATACATTTATATCTATCTACATATGTACATGTGTGTGTGTTTGTTTGTTTGTTTGTTTTGTGTGTGTATTTGTAGGTATGTATGTTTATGTATTTACACAAGTGCTCACAAGCCTCTCGTCGGGTGCTTTGGTAGGCCGTCGGGTTCTGTGATAGGCCGTCGGGTGCTTTGGTGGGTAGGCCGTCGGGTGTGTAGGCCGTCGGGTGCTTTGGTAGGCCGTCGGGTGCTTTGGTAGGCCGTCGGGTGCCGTCGGGTTCTGTGATAGGCCGTCGGGTGCTTTGGTAGGCCGTCGGTGCTTTGTAGGCGTCGGGTGCTTTTGCAGGGCGTCGGGTGCTTTGGTAGGCCGTCGGTGCTTTTGCAGGCCGTCGGGTGCTTGGTAGGCCGTCGGGTGTTTTTGCAGGTCGTCGGGTGCTTTTGCAGGCCGTCGGGTGCTTTTGCAGGCCGTCGGGTGCTTTTAGGCCGTCGGGTTCTGTGTAGGCCGTCGGGTGCTTTGGTAGCCGTCGGGTGCTTTGTAGGCCGTCGGGTGCTTTTTCCTGTGTAGGCCGTCGGTGCTTTGGTAGGCCGTCGGGTGCTTTGGAGGCCGTCGGGTGCTTTTGCAGGCGTCGGGTGCTTTGGTAGGCCGTCGGGTGCTTTTGCAGGCCGTCGGGGTGCTTTTGCAGGCCGTCGTGCTTTGGTAGGGCGTCGGGTGTTTTTTCAGGTCGTCGGGTGCTTTTGCAGGCGGGTGCTTTTGCAGGGCGTCGGGTACTTTGTTAGGTCGTCGGGTGCTTTTGCAGGGCGTCGGGTGCTTTGTTAGGTCGTCGGGTGTTTTTGCAGGGTCGGGTGCTTTTGCAGGCCGTCGGGTGCTTTAGTAGACCGTCGCTTTTGCAGGTCGGGTGCTTTTGCAGGCCGTCGGGTGCTTTTGGTAGGCCGTCGGGTGCTTTTTTGGGCGTCGGGTGCTTTGCAGGGCGTCGGGTGCTTTTGCAGGGCGTCGGTGCTTTTGTTAGGTCGTCGGGTGCTTTGCAGGCCGTCGGGTGCATTATTAGGCCGTCGGGTGCTTTATTATGTCGGGTGCTTTTGTAGGCCGTCAGACGCATTTGCAGGGCGTCGGGTGCTTTTGCAGGGCGTCGGATGCTTTTGCAGGTCGTCGGGTGCTTTGGTAGGCCGTCGGGTGTTTTTGCAGGCCGTCGGGTGCTTTGGTAGGCTGTCGGGTGTTTTGCAGGCGTCGGGTGCTTTGGTAGGCCGTCGGGTGCTTTTGCAGGGCGTCGGGTGCTTTGTAGGGTCGTCGGGTGCTTTTGCAGGCCGTCGGGTGCATTATTAGGCCGTCGGGTGCTTTATTATGTCGGGTGCTTTTGTAGGCCGTCAGACGCATTTGCAGGGCGTCGGGTGCTTTTGCAGGTCGTCGGATGCTTTTGCAGGTCGTCGGGTGCTTTGGTAGGCCGTCGGGTGTTTTTGCAGGCCGTCGGGTGCTTTGGTAGGCTGTCGGGTGTTTTTGCAGGGCGTCGGGTGCTTTGGTAGGCCGTCGGGTGCTTTGGTAGGCCGTCGGGTGTTTTTGCAGGCCGTCGGGTGCTTTGGTAGGCCGTCGGGTGCTTTGGTAGGCCGTCGGGTGTTTTTGCAGGCCGTCGGGTGCTTTTGCAGGCCGTCGGGTGCTTTAGTAGACCGTCGGGTGTTTTTGCAGGGCGCCGGGTGCTTTTGCAGGCCGTCGGGTGCTTTAGTAGACCGTCGGGTGCTTTTGCAGGCCGTCGGGTGCTTTTGGTAGGCGTCGGGTGCTTTTGCAGGCCGTCGGGTACTTGGTAGGCGTCGGGTGCTTTTGCAGGCCGTCCGTCAGGCCGTCGGGTGCTTTCGGGTGCTTTAGGACCGTCGGGTGTTTTTGCAGGGCGCCGGGTGCTTTTGCAGGCCGTCGGGTGCTTTTAGACCGTCGGGTGCTTTTGCAGGCCGTCGGGTGCTTTGGTAGGCCGTCGGGTGCTTTTGTAGGCCGTCAGACGCTTTTGCAGGGCGTCGGGTGCTTTTGTAAATCGTCGGGGGCTTCTGCAGGCCGTCGGGCTGAAGACACACCTTGGAACAGGGATCGGAAGGAGCATCCTTTGTGGGTTGGTGTCTATTTTCGCTTGTCGAGGGTATCGCTAGTCCTTCTCTCTTTATTCCCCTTTGTTCTTATTACCTTTCCGTCCCTTGTCTTTGTTTTTATTTCCTCCTCTATCTCGCTTTTGCCTTTTCTTCTCCCATCCACTTCTCTCCTTTTCTCTTCCTTCCCCACACCCTTCCCTCCTACCTCTCCTCCCCTTCTCTACCCCTCTTTTATCCCCTGCCCCCCGCTCCCTCTACATTTTCCCTCCAGCCTCTCCCTTCCTCTCCCCCCTCCCCTACCCTTCCCCGTTTTTCTCCCTTTTCTCCCCCTTTTTCCCCACTTCCCTCCTCTCCTCTTCACCTCCCCCCACCCTTTAACTCCCTCTTACTATCTTTTCTCCCCTTTTATTTCCCCTGGCCTCCACTCCTATTCCACTCCCTCCCCTCCTCTCTCGTCTTCTCCCCTCCCTCACCTTTCCCTCCCTCCTCACCTCCCGTCCCCTCACCTTTTCCCTCCCTCCCTTTCCCCTCCCCTCTACCTTTTCCTCCCCTCCCCTCCCCCTCCCCCTCCCCTCCTCCCCAAAGCCAGTGGCCTCGCCTGACGTGAGTAATTCTTAATCGGCGCTCTATTAGGAGAGCTCCCACCGATTTGTTGTCGATTTATGTGACCTTGGGTGATATTAAAGATTTGGGAAGATTTCCGTCTCAGTTCGGAGACGGGGGAAGGGGAGGTAGAAGAGGGGAGGAGAGGGAGGGAGATGGGGGAAGGTGGGTAGAAGGGAAGGGAGAGGGAAGGAGGGAAGGGGAGTGGGGCAGGGAGAGGGAGAGAAATTATTGGATGTGGAGTTCTTTACGCTATCTCGCCCGGGGAACATTTTATGGATCGGTATGTTTTAAGGACCTTATTTTCGTGGGGGTGGGGAGAGGGAAGGGGAGGGAGGGAGGAAGGGAGGGGCGAAGAGGGAGGAGTGGGCAGTGGAGCGAGAGGGAGGGAATGAATGAAGGGAGGAAAGAAGGAATGAAAGAAAAAGAAGGAAGATGGAGGGGAGTGGGGAGAGAAGGGGAGAGGGAGGCGTGAGGCGGGGAAGAAGGGGGATGAGGGTGACCTCAGGAGGAAGAGGGACAAAGGGAAGGGGGCGGAGGGTTGACTTATCCTTTGCAGAAATGAGGGAGCTCAGCTGAATGGGTGTTTTGAGGAGGGGGGTGGGAGAGCGGTACATGTGGGAACCCAAAAGATGCACACGCACGCACACACGCGTACGCTCGCGCTCATACACACACATACACCCGCGCGCGCTAGAAACGGGGATTGTTATGTAATTTATTTCGTTGTCTCGAAAGGTATTACAGATTGTTATACTCTTTCCCGTAAAGCAAAAAAAAAAAGTAAATAGCTGCGAAAGGAGAAAGATGACTTAACCGAAAGAATAGTAATGAATGGAGAACAACAGTAATAGAAGAGAAGATGCATCTTTTTTTTCCTTTCTTCCCTTTTTCATGGCCCGCGAAGGGAGGCAATTCTCGCGGGATATCCTTGCCAGGAAACAGGTATAATGTTCAATCCCACAAGGCTGCTGCAACTCTTCGTACTGTAGCTATGGTTACACCCGAGGGACAAGAACGCCTATCGTTTCGTCTGTTGTGTTTGTTTTCTTTTTTGCTTTAGTTTTTTTGCTTTTCCGCATCTAAGGGAGCACTTTATGCGTAGAATAGATCATCTATCCCGTCCGAATGCGATTGCGCAGTAGGAAAATAGAGCTTTCGGGTGGAAGGGAGTCCGCAAGACCCTCCGTCCGCCTTGTCAGAGCGTCAGGTCCTCCCTCGGACGTAGTTGAGGTCGTCGACGAGTCTCGTTGCATAGCGGAGGATGGGCGGCAAGGTAGCTTTATGTGATGTATAGCAGCGAGGCCGGGGCGGGAGGAGAGAAGAGTGTGAAGGGGAACACCACGGGGAAGGGAAGGTATGCGGGTAGCCTATGCAACACAAGGAACCCTCTGTCCATTTAGCTGTGTGCCAACCCCTCGGCCGCGACCACCCGCCACATATCGACACACCATAGATAGCGGGATTCGCCTACCGCCAGGGCCGTCCTTCGCTTGGGCAAGGCACATGGCCATGTTAACGCGATGCACCCCTCGCCAGGTACTCCATATTTATTAATCCCCCATTTAAGAGTACATGTGCGTCCGCGGGAACTCACGGACCTGAACTGCGTTAGGGGGATGCGGGACAGGGCCAAAAGGGGCCGAAGACAAAGTGCGCTCTTGTTGTAGGGTGGAGCGGGCGAGAGCGAAGTCATTGATGTTAGGTAACGGTGATGGAGTGGAGGAGTGACGTAAGAACGGGGAGAGACGTCTGGTAATGGTCATGTACGGGGAGCGGATGGAGGGTAATGGTGGCAGAGGTTGGGACCTTCTGCGAGCGGGGGCCATTATATGTCCGTAATGACACGTGCTATTATAGTCATTAGTGCGTAGTTGATTTGAATTAAAGCCGCGCTCAGATGTTGAGTTGTTAATAGCTTCGTTGATGTTTCTCTTCAGGTACCCGGCCCGTACTCCGTATAATGAATAAATGAAACCAGCGGCGAGGAGGGCCATAGACTGATGCTAATGCAGGGCACAGACAAATGACGGCAATCAGAGAGGGAGGGGCGGAGAGGCCCGGATGGAAGGGGGCGGGGCGGGGGGCGGGCCAGGCCGGTCCGACGTAGATGACTTTGGCGACCCGCTCGGGTTTTGTCTTCGGGAGGTTTTGTGGGAATGCTGACCGGCCGGGCGGCGATGGGCGGGGGCGGCGGAGGGGCGGAGGGAATGGCGCATGATACGCCGCGCGTGTGTGTGGAGGGGTGGGCTGCGTATATATATATTTTTTTCCTCCCTCCATCGGGGTGAGTTGCATATATGTATATATATGCATGTGTTTGTTTGCCTGTCTTTATGTGTACCTATATAAAATAAATATCTCCGCATCTTTGTCTGTGCAAAGTCACCGTCCATGTAAGATAAGGTCACCCCCCATGCAAGCCCAGGTCACCCACCTAGGAAGCCGAGGTCATCGTCCTAGCGACTTAGGGCACCGACTCCTACCACTGGTTTTCACCGGAAGTGAGGAGAAGCGTCAGCGACACCCACACAGGTGAAGCATCGGACTTTGAACTTCAGCAAAGCGCCCGATAATGAACGAGAAAGAGTTCATGGCAACAGTTGCAATGGCTTGCCTTCGTTTTATCTAATAATAATGTAGTGTTCATTAGGTTTGAACATTGGGTCAACGTACAGGCAACGATCCACACTAATGAAGCGCGGGATTTTTTATTGTAGTTACAAAGTTTTCTAAACGTCGTCGGATGTTTTACACGTTCACATCTCTTCATTATTTCATAGCAGAGTAAATAGGTTTATTGGAAAGTAAATAGTTTTTTTAAGAAAGTAAATAGCTCTATAAGTAGGTAAATAGCTCAATAGGGAAGTAAACAGCTCTAAAGAAAGTATTAGCTGTATACAAAAGTACGTAGTTCAATAGGAAAGTAAACAGGTCTGTAGGGAAATAAATAGCGCTACAAGAAAGTAATAGCTCTGTAGGAAAGTAAACAGGGCTATTGGACTGTAGATAAAGGTCTGTTAGTCGTGCGATATTCCGAATACGGTTTTGCGCCACCTGTTGTGACATTTCTTACGCGAAAAACCTTCGGATCGAAATGTAAAATGTATGTAAATGAAAAAAATGTTTCTATTTTCTGAAAGGATTGTTTTTGTTTGTGAAAAAATCATAATTACGTTTGATTATGTTCATTTTTGTTATTTAACAAAGATTTGCAATAAATGTTTTCGGCTATACAAAATAAATGTTCATAGTTACATCTAATTATTGAAAGAAATAGAAAAAGAATAACAGCTTCCAACGTAGGAGCTAAATATAATAAAAAAAGTGGACTACAGGAATTGAACCCCAAGAGCGGTCTCAAATTATTATGCAAAAAAATTATAATAACATATGATTATGCAAAAATATGATCAG